CAGAGTCTTCTGAAGCTTTACGTATGTTCTTTACTCAAGTTCTTCTCAGCTTCGCTCAGAGTCACTGTAGCAGATCAGAGTCTTCTAATATGTTTCTTCTGACGTTTAGAGCTTTTTTGTTTTGTAGTGTTCAGAGGCGTTTTTCCTTCCAGAATAAAATTAATTTTGATATCTAAAACAAATAAATACCTGAACAAAATTAGTGTATATAAATTTTCTATACAAAATTTCATTAATGTTATCATCAAAACCATGAGATATATTAAACACCAATCTGTGTTCTAACATATAGAACTCCACAATCTCTTGTTCAATGTCCTCATGCTTGTTGAACATCTCTCTATTCAAAGCTTGTAGACTATATAGGCCTTTCTACCTGTTTTTCTCCCTAACTGAGGCATGAAAATAGGCATTATTGTTGTCCCCTAACTTCAACCAGTTTATTTTTGCTTTCTGTTTTAGGATCTCCTCTTCTATTTAGTTCAGTAGCATAACTTTTTTTGTACAAACTTTCACCTGCTGAATTGAATGGATCATATTTTTTATTAAAAAAAATATTATTTATTAAAAAATTGGTTAATACTTGACATTATCGATACTCTCTCCAATCCCTATTATAAAAAAAAATTTTAAAATTATTGAATAAATATATTTAAACTAAATATAAATTAAATATTATAATTTATTCAACAAATTTAAAAAGCTCATTTAGATACAAAGTATTATTTAAAATAAAAAAAAAAAGATAAGTCTCAACTATATATTGAACTTTGGCCTACATGAACTATTTAACTTCTCCATGATAGACATATTAGAGAAGATTTATATTCATTGTTGTGCATATTAAACCTTATAACCATAAATTAACTCCCATTACATGAAATGTTGTTTATTTTGGCGGCATCAAAACCGCTACTACCCATTCACTTCAATCCACTCACTCAAACACCACAAAATCTAACCTCTCTTCAAACATTTCCTACTATTTAGCTCTTACCTTCTTCCACAACATCTCCAACTAGCGCAAAATATCTCAAATATGGCAAGTTATGTTGCTACCCCATTTTCTTTCTCTAGTCTTCTTTGTCATGAATATCTTTCTTTGTCCAAATATTCCACAACATTTTCTCTATGATAGCCTTGTTCCAATCATATAAAGAGATGATATTCCTTCCACCTGTTGAGATTGAATCACATATATGATCCCAAGCTATGGGAGATTTCCTCTTATTTTCATCCTTACCAGTCCATAAGAATACCCTACAAAGTCTTTCAACATGATTGATCACCTTCTTGGACAAGGGAAAATTTTGAATCCAGTAGTTAGCTATAGAAAAAAGAACACTCTTGACAAGTTGCAATCTTCTAGCATATGTGTTAGATGCCAAATTTCACTTATTTGATCTATCAAACATTGACATCTTTCACTCATTTTTGTTAAGAAAGTGTTGAAAACCACTATTTCTTTGTTTAGTTTGCAATATATTGTGAAAATCTCTTGGTACCTTTGATTTATGTTCTATTGTGCAGGAATTAGGCACAAAACAAGTGAAAAGTAAGACACAAGAAATGGGCAAGGAAACCAAGATAACATGCAAACAACACACAAGAAATGGGCATGCTGTCAAGCTTGCTAGGCGGGGGAGGTAGCAAAGCACTTGCTAGGCGAAGACGCAACGAGCTGTCAGCGAACACTCCCAGACTTGGACAGAACCAAAAAGATCAAAATTCGTTGTGGCGAGGGAGGTAGAGAAGTGTTCGCTAGGCGAAGCACCAGTGAGGCTGCAGCGAAGGCTTCGCTAGGCGAAGGAATTGCTCGCCTAGCGAACATCTGGAAATGTCTCAGGGGCGGTTTGACTGTTCAGAGGCACCTCACGTGCCAAACTTGATGCTCGCTAGGGGAAGGATCTGCTCGCTAGGCGAGCGTGACAGATCCTGAATGTGTATTTAAGTTATTTTCTTGCTTTTTAGGTCATAACTTCCATAGAACTTCCATAACTTGTAAATTTCCATTTTGTAACATTTAGAAACATTAGAACTTATTTTTCTTCATTTTTTAGAGAGAGAAACACAAAACCCTAAGAGGGAGGAGGTAAGATCTTCGATCTCTTGTTGGGGTTTGGATTGTAATCTTTTGATACCTTATGTATTTCATCTAATTTATGTTTGTGAACTAGTTTGGATTCTCTATTGATTGATTATCTTTGATTATGTATTTGTGGGTCTTGACAAAACCTTTTCACATCTTTGATCTCAGATTTTCTTCTATCAATGAACAAACTTTTGACATGGTTTTGAAGTTGATATTCATTGTATCTTCTATGGTGTTATGTTGATTAAGTAGCATGGGTAGCATGGGTAGGATCAACATGATATTGTGTGAGTACGTGATAATAGTGATGAAGAATGATGTTCACAACCATTTGGCGGATTAGATGAATACATGTAAAAAGAGTTACGCGTGTGTGTGTATTCTGATCATTGTATTTTATGCAAAACTATCGTTTATCCGATATGGGTGTCGTCTTTGCTTACTTGTTTATCTTTGATTTGAACCGTGATAGAGATACACTTTTCAGATCTGGATCTAAGATGACTACCTGTTAGGTTCTAAATGCTAGAGATAGTTTTAGGCTTAGCATTTGCTTGAGTATCAGTTCGTAATGCTCTGTGTTGTGTTTTTGTTGGTAGAGAGATCACCAATGAGACAACATGGTTGTTCTCTCGACGTTGCATTAGAGTTAAGCCCTGTCGTGAGTGATACGTGAGGATATTAGACGAATGATTGCGTTATGTTTAATTTGATCAGAAAAATGCATATGTTATCAATTGATGAAATCTAATCCCAACAAGGCTCCGTTTATATTTCCGTCTTTAATTTATATTTTCTGTCTTTATTTAAGGTTCCTTGAACTTTTTAAACCAAAACTTTTGAACAATAAGTTTAGAAATGTAGAGGCCGTTGAACGACATTCATATCGCACTAATCCCTGTGGAGACGACAAAACTGGGTACTTAATATTTTTTGCTTGCTGCTTTACCGCACCAACAATATGATAGGAACTTGGTGCTCCAATGATTTATCCTTTTCAGCATCCTATCAATTAAGGGCTGGAAATTCTTGGCAGTTAGTTTTTCGTTACTAAGTGGCACTCCCAAATACCTGAATGACATATCTCCCTCGGTCAGATCTGTGAGTTGGTAAAGGTGATTTCTTGTCTCTTCATTTACTCGTCCAATATACACTTTGCTCTTAGTGCTGCTGATACACAAACCTGTAGCATCTGAAAATTTCTGAACTTTCTCCATGATTAGCTGCAAGGACACACCATCTCCCCTAGTAAATAGTAGAATGTCATCAACAAAAAATAGGTTGATGATGTTTAGCCTCTCACATCTTGGACAGAAATTTAAATCAGGATTTCGTGCAAAAGTTTGAAGCATCCTGTGAAGGTACTCTATAGTGACCACAAAGAGCAGAGGTGAGATGGGGTCTCCCTGTCTCAAGCCTCTTTTTGCTCTAAGCATTTTTGAAGGGCTACCATTGATTGAGAACCTATATGAAACAGAAGTTACATAAGACATAATCCAATTAATGAAGACCTGGGGGATACCTATCTCCGTCATAATATGAGCTAGAGCTTGCTAATCCAATGTATCATAAGCCTTTTGGATGTCCAGTTGAAACATACTTCTGAGAGATATTTGATTCCTACCATATCCTCTCACCAATTCCTTAGCCAGAATGATGTTGTCATGAATTAACCTACCAGGTATAAAAGCAGACTGGGAATCTGAAACTATGTGACCAATAACTGAACCAAGTCTAAAAGTGAGTGTTTTGGAGATGATTTTATAGAATGTACTACAACAAACGGCAGGCCTCATCTCCTTGGTTATTTTTGCTTCTGGGGTCTTGGGGATTAATGTTATGAGAGAACAGTTAAATGCCTTGTACATATGATTACTGTAAAAAAAATCCTTTACAGCAGCTCTCACATCATGTTTCACAATATGCCAGATTTTTTTTGAAAAAATAGGAATTTTATCCATTCATACCTAGTGTTTTTGTGTCTCCAATGCTATCAAGGGCTTCCCAAATCTCTTTGTCTTCCACATACCTGATGAGGTAATGTGCATCCTCTTTAGTTAAGGTTTTACTAGCTCTAATAACAGGGATCTCTATGCTCTTTAGATTTTGATTTTGTGTGCCTACCAAATGTGTATAGAACTCCACAATCTCTTATTCAATGTCCTCATGCTTGTTGAACATCTCTCCATTCAAAGCTTGTAGACTATATAGGCCTTTCTACTTGTTTTTCTCCCTAACTAAGACATGGAAATAGGCATTATTGTTGTCCCCTAACTTCAGTCAGTTTATTTTTGCTTTCTGTTTTAGGATCTCCTCTTCTATTTAGTTCAGTTGGATAATTTTTTTGTACAAACTTTCACCTGCTAAATTGTTTGACCATTGAATGGATCATATTTTTTATTAAAAAAATACTATTTATTAAAAAATTGGTTAATCCTTGACATTATCGATACTCTCTCCAATCCCTATTATAAAAAAAAAATCTTAAAATTATTGAATAAATATATTTAAATTAAATATAAATTAAATATTATAATTTATTCAACAAATTTAAAAAGCTCATTTAGATACAAAGTATTATTTAAAATAAAATAAAAATAAAAAAATAAAAAAGATAAGTCTCAACTATATATTGAACTTTGGCCTACATGAACTACTTAACTTCTCCATGATAGACATATTAGAGAAGATTTATATTCATTGTTGTGCATATTAACCCTTATAACCATAAATTAACTCCCATTACATGAAATGTTGTTTATTTTGGCGGCATCAAAACCGCTACTACCCACTCACTTCAATCCACTCACTCAAACACCACAAAATCTAACCTCTCTTCAAACATTTCCTACTATTTAGCTCTTACCTTCTTCCACAACTTCTCCAACTAGCGCAAAATTTCTCAAATATGGCAAGTTATGTTGCTTCCCCATTTTCTTTCTCTAGTCTTCTTTGTCATGAACAAACCGATTCCACATTCTTCTTCGAACAAGATCAAGATGAAAACGCCATCTTCATTAACTCATCACGTAATGATCATCATAATAGCAACCTTTGTTTCCTTTTGGAAGATGAACAAGAGGAATACATCGATTATCTATTCAAACAAGAATCAGGATTTGGATCCTCCACCACTCATTTCTTATCCTACGACAATGATGTTGATGTTCATGATGATATATTCTGGTTGAGAAATGCTCGTTTACATGCCATTTCTTGGATTTTCAACGTTAGTTTTCACCTAACTAATCAACTTTTTTTACATTACTTTTTGGTTCTTCTGTTCTTCTGTTATCGAAAGTTGTCATTTTTGTATTATTTCAGACACAAGCAAAATTTGGATTCACACTTCAAACAGCTTATTTATCAATCACTTATTTCGACCGCTTTCTCTCCAAACGATCCATTGATGTAAGCTCAACATTTTTCCTATTTTTTTTATTTTTTTAAATTTAGACTTTGCTGATTATTTTTTTCATATGCAGGAATCAAAACCATGGGCTATTCAGTTATTATCAGTGGCATGTTTATCGATAGCAGCAAAAATGGAAGAACAAAGAGTTCCTCTATTATCAGAATATCCAATAGAGTTTCGATTTGAAAACAAAGTTATCAAGAACATGGAGATTTTAATTTTGACTACTTTGGAATGGAAAATGGGATTACCAACACCTTTTGCTTTTTTACATTATTTCTTCACCAAGTTCTGCAATGAATCAAGACCAGAAACAATAATCTCAAAAGCCACACAACACATTGTAACATTGGTCAAAGGTAATTATTTATTTTCTAAAAAAATAATATTGTTTTTTTTTTTAATTATCTTTATTAAAATATTGTTTTTTTTGGGTGCAGATTTTAATTTGATGAATCAACGACCATCTATAATTGCTTCTGCTTCTATATTAGCAGCTTTTGATTCTACATTAACTCAGAAGGAAATTGATATTCAGATAAGACTAATCTCATCATGGGGAAATATAGAAAGTGTGAGTTTAATAATTAATTAGTACAAATTATATTATATTATTATAAAGTTTATTAATTTATGTGCATTATGGAACAGGAACAAGTATTTTCATGTTACAATGTTATACAAGAAAAGAAGAGAGACAAAGTTAAGAAGACACCTTCCTCGGATTTATTATCAAAAGAGTCGAATTTGACTTATGTTGTTGAGAACAAATCTAGTGGTTTTTCAGGAGTTAAGAGGAAGCTTGGTTATGAGAATATTGAAGATTTTCAAGAACAAAAGCTACATCGACCTTAGACTGTGATTTCTATACATGAAAATTAATTAATTTGATTGGTATTTTTTTTATTGTTTTTAGTTAATAGGTCTAGTGAGTATCATTCACCATTTTTGTGGAATGATTTTGGTATTGATAGTGTTGAACCAAGAACAAAAAAGTTTTTGGGAGTGATAAGTGAGAAAAAGAGTAAATAAATGAAAAGGTTGTTGAAGATTTTGTTTAGAGAATGGTGGGAGAGTGAGTGAATGAAAGTTCACAAGGATTGTGGTGGGGAAGGGAAAGCAAGAAAGATATGTGGAGTGTGTAAGTGGAACACTATTTATTAATTATTCATAGTGATAGTGTTTGCTTTTACAACTGTAATTTTATTTTATTTTTTAATTCTTTTGTTGTGAAACAACTACTTGGGATGCTTTGCTTTGTACGATGTGTAGAGAGACAAGGTTGCATTGAGAATGGGAAAATGGGTTTGTGTGATTTGATGGGTGTGTGCAACAATTGGGTTAGGGTTGGGGTGATTTGATAAAGCATGTAAAAGTTGAAGCATGAGGTACTTAACCTAATAATTAAAGGACATAATCTAATGGATTTTCTTTACCCTAACCAACAACTTTTACTTTGCAAAAGATTTCTCCTCCTTGTTTGGAACCTCAAGAATGGATATATTGTGTTAGTGGTTTGTGTTCAACCTACAAAAGGCAAATTGATGCCAAAGTATGAAAATGTGCTAGTACATAGCAAGTAGACAAATTGATTATGTAATCATACATGAGAATGAGTATCTTATTTAAAGAGTTGCTATACTTTAATACATTTCATATAATTGTTATTTCTACTAAGATGATCTCTAAGATTATTAGTGGTGGTTAATGTTGGAACGAAAACAATTGTAGTAATTTAAAAATAAAAAAAAACCACAATGTATCAAGTCATATTATCACCTCGTACAAAGACAATATTAGTTGTGAATTTAATGTAATGAGTGAGTAATAGGGATGGGGTGTACTAATCGCAATTGATTAACTTGTATATTTTAATATTGCAAATAGAAAATACTAACTAACTATTGACAAATATGATTTTAAAAAAGATTAAATTTTTCTTTTGGATCATCTACGCCTAGAAGAGAATTCTCATGATTGATCATATAATGACTATTAAGTATCCAATCACAATTGTCTGCTTTGTTAGAAGCAAGTCGTGCAACCCTACATATACCAGGAATATTTAATCGCAGGGACGAAGGTTTTATGACATGTAAAATAAGAAGACAGTTTTGCAAAACACATAATTACGACCTCGCAACCTCTTATATATTGGAAACCTCCAATTACAAAGTTTTTATAACGTGTAAAACTAGATTAATAGTCGAGACTATTTCTCTCTTAATGCGAACTATCATTACAATCTTTTAGTTTTATCAATCGAATAAACAATTCACCACTAAGTATCATTTTTCATCTAAATTAATTTTCCTAATTTTATAGATGGGAGAAAACATTAAACGTAAATTAAACTATACAATCATAAACAAAAATTTATTACAGAGGCAGCCACGGAGAATTGCATAAATTGCATGTTTAAGGCAGAACGTCTATAGAAAACCTAATTTAAGGGGCCTAGTCACTCATCTTAAAGAGATTTATGGTTTTAACAATTGAAAAACAATAATAAAGACTTACAATAATCAATAACAAGCTCCTAATGGTAGCCTTCATTTTCATATTTCTTTGGTGCAGAAAATTAACTTTGACTCTCAAAAAAACAAATCCTTAATGGCTAAACATGTTTTTTTTTTCTATTTATAGATAAAAATTTGATATCGTGTAATTGTGTAGTTCCATTTAAATTGCTTCCAAATCTTGCCAGAAATTTGAGATATCATCGTTATGCTGATGAATGGATCTTTTTGGCCTTCTCGGTCTTGATTGCACCGATGTTGAGCATCGCAATTTATAATTTTTTGTTTTGTTTTTGCAATTTAGGCAAAAAGTTTGGATCACATCGTTGAGCTTGTTAAACGCTGCGATGGATTGATGAAATTAAATAGCATCGATATTGACTAGGAACATGTCCTTATTGCTTGCCTTTTTAGATTTTCTTTAATTTTCTTCCATTCATTGTGTTGTATCCCTATCCTTTCTTCTTCTTCATAATTTTCATAATGAAATACTATGAAAATTTTATAGTTAGGATGATTATCACAAGGTTTGGTCTTTTTCACAAATTTTCGAATTCTTTATTAAAATATACAAAACGAAAAAAAATGTGTGAAACTTTCTTAACCTCAAGAAAAATGTTTGAAACTTTCATAATGTGATGTACCATCACCACAACTCCAAACTTAAATCTTTTTTTAATATCAATAAAAATGTTTGAAAATGACTTGTAATCAAGTTTTCTGGTATGTATTTTTTCTTCACCAAATAATTTGCAATCAATTTTTCCGGTATGTATTTTTTTTTACCAAATAACTTGCAATCAAGTTTTTCGATATGTAATTTTTATTTACCGGTTAAACTACATACCGAAAAACTTGATTGCAAGTTATTTGGGGAAGAAAAATTACATACCGAAAAACTTGATTGCAAGTTATTTGGGGAAGAAAAATTACATATCGAAAAACTTGATTGCAAGTTATTTGGTAAAGAAAAAATACATATAGGAAAATTTGATTGCAAATTATTTGGTGAAGAAAAAATACATATCGGAAAACATGATTGCAAATTATTTGGTGAAGAAAAAATATATACCAGAAAATAATAAATATTAAATAATAAAATTATTTGATAAGTAAAAAGGGTGGCATTGGAATATTTTAAAAAATGTAAGGATAGAGGGATAATGATAGGGGTACGAGGTAAAATTTTCTAAGAAAAATAATAGTATACAATGATTATTTGCCCTAAACCTTCCTTGTTTATGTATCTTAAAATTTAAAGGTTTTGAGCTAGAGTCTCATATTTAGTTGTTATTCTTCCATTAGTTTTTTTAAATTTTCGTGGATCCTAAACATTTACATTTAGGTATATCATTTATTTCACAATTCATGAGCCCTGTTTCGAGTAAAGAGACCGACTTATTTGTATTGAAATGCTCAGGAAGAGGTGTCCCGTTGAAATCGAAATGCCCAGGAAGAGATGTATTGAAAAGTCCAGGAAAGAGGTGTCAACAGTGGTACAAGTGTATGTTGCCAAAAAGAGTTTTCACTTTAGGGGGAGCATTGTAGACTCACACTTGAGGGGGAGTATTGAGAATAATAAGTCAAATGTGACTTGGAGTCTCACATTGGTTATAAATGTGGAGACTTGAGCATTTATATGTGGGAGAACCCACACACTTATTACCTTAAGGTTTTAGGTGAATATGTGGTATCTCTCTCAATTGTGTGTTGCTCTTAACCCAACATTAAACACTTTCACTACTAGACTCAGAATAACATGTCAGAAGAAATTTATGATAATCTTCACATTTTCTGGTGGGATAGTTTTTCACTTACCTCAATATTAGTATACAAAACGGAAAGCGTTCATCATTGAAATTTGGCAGGGGCATTGCATAGGTCGGATGACATTATTCTATACTCCAAGATTCAGAACGAGCATGTTAAATTTGTCTTTCTTACCGACCCAGATCTACAAAAATCTAGTTATAACGCCTTGAATACATGTCATGAAAACAATAAAAGGTTTTACTTGGCCATCTTTCGAGCACAAGGTCATTGAATGATAGATGGAAAATGTATTTTCTAGTAGTCAAATTCATCCTTCTATAGTTAATACATTTTTTCCATTTAGTAGTTGTACGGGTCAAGTTAAGCTCATTCTTCTTGTTTCTTACAACAAATATATCACCCATCTTATGGACTTCATGAGCTAAGTTTACCCATGTATTATCAAAGAATGCATACCTCATACCAACTTCAAGATCTATTTTTTACTACCTCCTTCATTTTTAGATATAGACACAACTAAGGTCGCACTACTAGTTTTCATTCTTTTTTCCTTTTGGTCAAAGAGTTGCGTATAGTGGCCAGGTTCGTGAGTTTCTCACCCCAAGAAATCATATTTTAATGGCAATGGGAGTTCCCTGATTTCCAGGGTTGCTTGTTTTTAAACATCTTCCATGGATTTGTCTTTAGTTAGTTCTTTAATTTTTGTTTGAACTTCTTCAGAATGTGAAGTTTCAAAATGATTTACACATTCTTCTTCTTTTTCATCCAATGACTCATTTGCTTTTATTAGTGATGTATTATCACTCTCTCTAATGATGGAGATGTTGTCTCAGTTAAACTTGTATCTTCACTAATTTAGTTCTATTACATCATTGTGTACAGATTCAAGTTGCTTATAATTTGTGTTTTCTTTGTTCGCACCTTCTTCCCTAGTGTTTTCTTATTATTCCTCATACTCGTCTATCTCTTTATTTGACTAATTTTTCAACTCTATTTTTTTCTTAATTTTTTTAAGATCTCTCTCTCTCTCTCTCTCTCTCTCTCTCTCTCTCTCTCTCTCTCTCTCTCTCTCTCTCTCTCTCTCTCTCTCTCTCTCTCTCTCTTCTCTCTCTCTCTCTCTCTCTCTCTCTCTCTCTCTCTCTCTCCTCTCTCTCTCTCTCTCTCTCTCTCTCTCTCTCTCTCTCTCTCTCTCTCTCTCTCTCTCTCTCTCTCTCTCTCTCTCCTCTCTCTCTCTCTCTCTCTCTCTCTCTCTCTCTCTCTCTCTCTCTCTCTCTCTCTCTCTCTCTCTCTCTCTCTCTCTCTCTCTCTCTCTCTCTGCACTAACCTTCCTAAGGATTTTATTTTTCTCACTTTCATAGTTGGACATCTCTCATTTACTTTTCCCATCTCTTGCCATCACCTAGGGCCAAATTTTTCCAGAGAGGGAGACCTATAATACTCATAAAGTTTATATGGTTTATAATCTTACTCTAATTAAGGTTGTTGTCTATTTTAATTCTTTCTCCCAAATGTCAGAATGTAAGTATTTGGAATGTCGATTCTAGTTCTCATTAACTCGATGGT